GTCTCTGCAGTTTCCTTGCTCAGGTACTGTGAAATGGATTCATTCTTCATTTACTTCTGTGTCATTTCCGTGGAAATACTTTGGCCTGTAATACCGTCACTTGAAAGGAACCTGTGTGGCTGACTGGGCATGGAACGAATAGGGAAATGAAAAGGCAGTGTTGCAGGGAACTTAAACAGTGTCCCCATTACTTTAATTGTGACGTTTTGCATGCAAGATGAGCTTGTTGGTAAACACATTACATGCACAAAGGGTGCCTCTGGGCCTGGGGTGGTATGGACCAGTATAAAAGCCAGTCCAACAGCAGCCTTCCTCATCCACTTCTCCTGCCTTCTCCTCCTTGGTGAACAAGGTGAGTTACAATCGCCTTTGCCTCACTCTTCTCTTTTTCTTGTTCTTCTCTTTCTCTTCTGGTCTTGAATGAGTCTTTTTCTTGAAGTAGGTTTTGCTGAGAGCCTTGATCCTTGATCCTGCTCCCAGTGTCTCTAACCATCTTGGACCCCACTGAACTTAGATTGGAGAAGGTCTCGGGCTTTTATTTTCAGGTCAACCACGGGGACCAGGGATCTTTAATCTCCCTTCCTGCCTATGCAGCCTGTCCCTGCTCCGCAGCTTCTGCCTTTGCTCTTGCCCATCAGGCTGTCAGGCTGCACCTCACATGCTGCCTGTGCTTTCCCAGCTCTCTCTCACAGGGGCACCTCCATCCCGCAGCCATGTCCTGCTACGATCTGTGCCGTCCCTGTGGCCCAACTCCGCTGGCCAACAGCTGCAACGAGCCCTGTGTCAGGCAGTGCCAGGACTCCCGGGTGGTGATCCAGCCGTCTCCCGTGGTGGTGACCCTGCCCGGACCCATCCTCAGCTCCTTCCCCCAGAACACCGCCGTGGGATCCACCACCTCTGCTGCTGTTGGCAGCATCCTGAGTGAGGAGGGAGTGCCCATCAACTCCGGGGGCTTTAACCTCTCTGGCCTTGGTGGCCGCTACTGTGGCAGAAGGTGCCTGCCCTGCTAAGGCCGGGCTGGACGTCCAGTGAGTGCATCGACCAGGAAGCCCCAAGCCAGGTGCCGGACTGAGGACGGAGCTGCTGGCCAGGGTTTCCAGAGGGGCTGAGCACCCTCGTGCCCTCCTGTAAAGGAGGGAGGGAAATAAGTTTCTATCTAAACAGCTGGCCAACATGTGTCTCATTTTTGAAATTCCTGCTTTTGAGGACTTTCCTTGCATCTGTGATTTTCAGTTTCACATATACTTGGTATAATGCTGTAATGTTAAATATTTAGTGGATGGGTTTTGATCAGGAATTAAGAAGTGGAGTCTTGCTTGCTGTCTTTTGGTTGGAATGGTTTAAATGGCTTCTTTCCCTGTTATAAATATAGATATTCCTTTTGTTTTGCAGTATACTACTTGACTTTTTATTATTAAACTGATGTTGCATCTGAATTTGTGTTTCATTGTGGTTCTCTTCTTTTTTCATATCCTTGGGCAGGAATGTGTTTTTATATGGAAAATTTATGCAGGGTACTTTCTCAGTAGAAAATGTGAATTGAATAGTTACCACAGTCAACCTGATAAAAATAATTTCATTGTTATTTATGTTCTTGTGATGCATTGAACAGGTTTACCTATGAAGTTCTTTTGCTAGTTTTTTCCAAAATTTTTTCCACATCTCTTTATAAATGTACAACTTTGATATTTTGGGTTGGGAGCTTTCTCATCTTATCACTTGTTTGGCATCTTGAAACTCTGAGAATTTGTAAGTGCATAATAAGCTTTTCAGAAGCACTATTTAGGCTTGTATTTTTGGTTAGATTGAATACCACCAGACTCTGAATCTTTAACCATGACATGCTTTGAGCTTGACTAAAGTCTTCAAAGGTCAAGTAGGTGTTCAAATCTCATTAGAGTAATAAGACTCTTTATATGATTGTATCATTAATACATTTTTATGAGGGGCTTTGTCCTGCCTTTCAAGACTTAAACAAAATCCAGTAAAGCCTACTCCTTAGCTAATCAATACAAGAACTCTCATAATACAGAGGAAAAATTACCGGAGTGAAGAACTAAACAAATGGTCATAGGTATTTCCCTTAAGAACAGTTTGGTTTTAATCCTGTTACCCACCATCCAGGAATTTTCTTGAAAATGTTGAAGCTCAGCACACTGTGTGTAACTAAGACATCAATAATAAAGAATGTCCTTGTTGCTAGGTACATAAGTTTGAGAAACTTATCCAAGTTTTCAGTTGTAACCTTTGACTCCTTTGCTCTCCTGCTGGAGCTACATGGGGTCTATCAGGACATAGGAGAGGAAAGCAGTAAGAATGTGCCTTGTGTGATTTCTGATGACTTTATACCTTATGCAAGGTTTTCTCCTTTAGAGCCACTAAAATCTCTTTGAAAATTAAAGTATCGTAGTGCTGAGACAGAAATAGTGGAGGAATCAGAGGGAGGATACCTGGCATTTGGGTTCAGTGTTGGAAACAGCGCAAATGTCCACACAGTAGGGGAAAAGAGGTAAATTAATTTTTTTCAAATGTTTTACACTTATGTTCTAAGTTTATTTACTTAAGAATCACTTGTGAAGTTACCAAATTAGGGGAAAAAAAGTTTAGAGATAAGATGGAATATGCCCCCTTTTAGGCTGTGGCTTGAGGCAGCAAAAGCAAAGTATGAAAGATGGTAAATCAATAAAGTACTAGACTGAGTGAAGTCTCTGCTTAAAAATTGGTTTTCATGCTTGTATTCTCTAAACAAATAATTAAAGGGACTGGAATGCATACACAAGCTTATGGTGTCCTGTTGACAAAGGTGGTATGACTGAAGTATTTAGTTATTTGCTTAGATCTGCGAGGAGTCACTGATTGTACTCTGATGTACATCAAAGAATGGCTTCATTCTTGGTGGCAGGAAGGCGTCTTTCTGTGATGCAAATGGACATGTAGCATAATGAGTACAGAAATGAATTTCAGAAGAATTAAATGTCTGGTGGAGTAGCCTGTGTCCAACAACATCATGTCCTGAAAGGTACGTTTGTGGTGCCTGTTGTGAACTAAAATCCTTGAGAGCTACGTTTTGCCATAAGCCCCTAAGTCTACTCTCGCCGATTTAAGAGAAAAAAGAAAGCAGTAGCCATCTTCAGACAGTATGGCACCACGGAGTGTTTGTGCAGGATGTTGAAGCCTTTATTAAATATATCATTAGAGAGACAGTTCCTGAAGAATGTGGACATCAGTTTGAAAGCCATGTCCCCTTTGTATGTTAAGATTGGAGAAATGGGTACAATAACTATGCATACAGATGTTTACAGATTTACAAGACTATTGAGGCATTCTTTTTTGCATGAATTTGTTCCCACATATATTTTTGCAGGAGGAACATTTTCTTGATAATGAAATTTTTTTGCTTTTGTTTTCCAGTCTAGGTTCAGCCTGGCATTGCATGAGAAGTGTACTCTAATCTATTAAAAATTCTTGCATCTTCACCATTTATGTGTACTAGTACTTTTGTATTGACTCTGTTAGTGTCAATATGAAATTACTCCTAGCGCAGACTAATAAAGACTTTTTTTTCAGCTCCTCAGCAATTTGTTAGCTTGTGAGCGTCTCAGAAGCACAATCTAAGATCACATTCAAGATATTTAGTAAAACTCTTTGTGTGCAATTCCCTGTCTGGCCCACTTAAGAACAGTTGCCACCTTCTTGTTCACCATCTTTAAAAAAATCTCTGAGGAGGTCTCCAAGGAGATCTTGAAGCCTCTTGGATGAGTTCTCTGAGCCAATCAGACCAATCTGGAGTTGATGGTCAGGAGACAGTTCAGGAGCCTTTTTGGAAATACTGCAGTGATCTCTGATCAGTTTGGTTTTAAAGTGTGAGGTAATGTACCAAATACAAGGAAGCAGAAGAGAAGTGTTGAAAACTTCTGTGGATATTGTTACAAGTTTTACAGGAAAATTAATTTTCCAGGCTGTCAGTAAGCACCTGATGTTACAGAAGAATTTTTATTTCAAAAATATTTACATATTTATGGGTTGGTAGCATTGTTTATGTCTGGAAGGGAAGGGAAATATTTAAGAGCATAGGTGGATGACTTTAGGTAACATTGAAATATGAAAAGCAGTTTAAAAATTTGTAAAACATTCATTTTTTTTTTAAAGGATTGTTCAGGATTGGTTTTCATAGAGTCTGTTAAAATACAAATGGCTACACTTTGTGAAGGTAGAAACCTAAGTGTGGGTTTATAGATGGCAAAGAATGATCTTGGTTCAGAGGTTTTAAATATATCCTATTGGGTGGATGATGAGGGTGTTAAAACCTCATCAAATATCATGGACAGTTTGATAACTTAATTCTGTGAATATGCGCATTGTTAATGAAAATTGTGAAGGACTTTGGAGCCCTTCTTTAGGCATCTAAGACCAAGAATTTTAATTTCCCAGATGTCTATGCTTCTTCATACACAATATTTAGTAACTCATCTCCAAGAAGATGTTCAAACCCTGCAGCTTGCACAGGAGAGACTGCAAAGTAAAGTTAAAAAAATATTAAAATTTTGTATCTATTTACGGAATGAACTTCCATCATCGCTTCTGTCTGCAGTATAATCACTGTGGTACTGCAGTCTGTAGCGAGGGGAAAAAATACAATGGCAAACAGGCCCTCGTGTGGTTTTTTACCCCAATGACTCCACAGTTAAGCTTGTGCAAAGATACTGCCTCAAAATATTTTAAAATTCATATGTGTCCTCAAGATGACTTGTGAACTGCTATTCATATTTGTGGTCTGAGATGGTACAGAAGGGAGTTATAGGTTCCCTTTGCAAAAGAACTGATAAATCAGGTTTAAATATCCCCGTGTGCTAGCAGCTGTGCCTCAAACTGTGTTACTGAAGTGTAATAGGGTGACGCTACCCAAATTTGGTATGATATAATAGTATTTTTCTCTGAATTTCACACAGGGCTCTGATTCTTTCTCATTTGATTTAGTGGGATTTCAGGTGTGCATATACTTGTGCCTTTTAGCAGGGCTTTCACAAAACCAGTTCAGTCTAGAGTGTTCTTATGCTTGGCTGGAGTCAGAGCTTTGTAAACATTGGTGGAGACCAGAATTTATTAAGGATTTACACTCATATTCTTAATAAAAGGACACCTTTGAATGGTGAATTACGTGTTGTATAAATTCTTCTTAACATTTTTCTTTATGACTAAAGGGAAACTATCCACTGGAGCATAAATTTTGCTGTGACTGAAAGGTGGCACTGGAATAAATTTGGCCCATAGTGTCATTAGATGAGAGAAACTTGTGTGACGGAATATTTATGTCAGAAGATAAGGAAATGAAAACAAGGTAATAAACAGTAAGGAAAAGACATTTAATCAGTTGGAGGCATTTTGCATTCAGGATGTACTCGTTGGTAAATAATTTCATGCAGAAAGGGTGTCTGTGGTCCTCAGGCCTTCTGAGATGCGGTATAAAAGCTAACTCAACTCGAGGTCCTTCCTACCACTTCTCTTACATTTTCTCTTTTGTGAACAAGGTTAGTTCAAATTTACTTCTCTTTTTCTATTTGCTCAATTCTTGCCTTCATAACTATTTGATTGTTGTTCTTTTTCCTTCACAGTATTCTGCTAGTTGCTGGATTGGTTGGGGGGGGAAGAATTTTTCTCTTAAAAAAAATTATTTTCTGCTGTTAGAATTGCAGGTATTTCTGGAGTCCCAACTTGGCCATACAGATCCTTGAAATGGTGGTATAAATTTATTCAAATATGGGCTATCAGGCATGCTAAGTGACTTAGCAAATCCTACTACTACTAAAGATTAACAAACTGAATGGGTGGAATACCTGTGCAAGGGGGGTTGGAATTAGCTGATCTTTAAAGGTCCCTTCCAACTCAAACCATTCTATGATTCAGAGATGTGCATTTTATGTCTTTAACGTTCTTAACCATCATCTGTAATGCCTGAAATTTCAACTGGGTTGATATGAAAATAGTAGTCTTTGTAAAGGATTTATCTTCAGAAATGTCATCCAGAAAAATCCTTTTATTTGCTGTTTATTCCACGGCTTCCTCAGTGTTCACATTTTTATGATGAATATATTACTGGCCACAGTGTGAAAGAGGAGGGTAAAATGAACCAGATAATAAAAGAAA